CCGTATCCTTTGAGCCTGGTATACAGCAAGCACACAAGCAGTGCACGCTCTCATGGTGGAGGCTATGCAGTTAGAAGGACCACAGCCTGAGGGTGGCCTTTCCAAACCCTCCTGAAATGTGTCTCCCCAAAGCCCGGGATAACGGGAGCCTGTGGAGGGACCTGGCCCCGCCCACACGGATTTCAGCCCGTGGACACCGGGTCTGACTTCTGGCTTCCAGATCTACGAGAAAATAAACGTGACATAGTCGGCCACCCAGGTTGCGACCCTCTGTCATGGCAGCCACGGGACACTAGTGTGTCAGTTGAGCATTTTACAGCAAGCCGCGCAGGTCAAACCACGTCTGAGGCTGGGCCGCTCTGGTGCGGACCCTCCAGAGGGGGGCTTGGGGGTCCTCACCACTGCCGGGAGCCCCTCTGCCCGAGCTGGCATTTCCTCTCTGACACGGCCCCTCCCTCGCAGTGCCCTTGGCCACAGGGACTTCTTAGGCCACCAGGGTACAGCTCTATGTGGCTGGTCATGGTGCAGACCGCCAGGACGGCAGAGGGGAGGTGCCGAGGAGGATGTCTGCCCGTCCGTGACTGTCCCCCCCCCCCCGGCCCTCCCTGCAGGCCCGTGACCTGTGCCCCCACCTCTGCCACCTGTTCAGACGAGCTCCTGGCCGACAGCCTCTTAGTTTCCATGACAACCATCCCAGAGATTACAGGGAGGGAAGGGCAGGGCGGGGCAGACACAGGTGCTGCTCCAGGTGCGGCGAGCCTGCCCTTCCTGCCTGGTCCCTCAGCACGCTCCCCTGCCAGACCCCGTGCTCGGGGGCCGCTCTTCCGAGACCCCTACCGGCTCTGGCGGGCGTCTCCTCCATGGGGCCCATCAGCCTTGAGCGGTGGCGGGGGGGAGGCAAGGTCACTCTGGGATGCAGGTCCAGGGACCGCTGTGGGTGCCTGGGCCGTGTGAAGAGGGAGGGACAGTTGGGTGGGTGTGGGCCCGCTGGGCTCAACACCGTGGTCAGAGTCAACACCAGCCTGCCCTCTACTGAGCTAACAAATGCCCGTACCACCCGAGCCACTTCGTGTGGCTTTTCTGCACTGAGACGCATGCCCCCGTCTGAGCCAGTTTCTGAGAGCGGGGATGACACCTCCTTCCCGGTGGTGGGTGGGGGTCTCAGAAATGAGAGCAGCCCCTTCGTAGCGGCCCCCCATGGCTCAGGAGTGACATGCCCGCCGGCTACCTGGGGGCGAGGGGTGTGTGCTCTCTGCACACACTCCTCACACCGCACGCGTGCTCTGCTCATTCGGTCACAGGGGCACACGGGCCTGGACGACGGGGGGCAGCTGGGCCCCCAGTGCCACATGCCTCCTGGGCTGTCCTGAGTGCTCAGGGCACTTGGCCTCTGTCTCCTCTCACTCCATCTCCCCACCTGCACACAGTGCAGCTGGTGTCGGCCCCAGAGACCTGCAGGGACTTGCTCGGTCACAAGCTTCAGGAAGGCAGAACTGGACTAAAACCCGGGTCTTAACTCCAGCCAGACTGGTCACACTCCCGCTGCTGCCCCTGGGTCTTCTCAGCTGGGCTGGGGGGCTCCTCCCAGCCACGCCCTGACAAGCGCTGGGAACACGGCAGGGATAGCCAGGGAGGTCGCTGCCCTGCCAACACGGGGCGACATCACGACATGTAAATGTTAAATCACTAAGTTGTTCTAAAGAATCAAATACGCTCTGTGAGGAGAGACTGGGGACATAGGAGGGTCCCGCATGGGAAAGCTTTTCTCACAGAGAAGTCGGAAGATTCGGGAGCTCAGGGGGGCTGGGCCTCACCCCTCCCTGTCCCCGCTGTGGTCTCTAAGGTAAATGTCCAAGCAGACCGTTCTTTCCTAGAAAGGCAGCGGACGTTTCCTGAAGCCGCGGGCAGCAGCGCCCGGCAGTGGGAGGGTCAGCACTGCGGACAGCGCCCTGCAGGCGGCCAGCCAGGAGGGGCGACCGTGGGGGACCTTGGGGGACGCGCCTGCGCTGGTGAGCACGTGTGCCTGGGGCTTGGCTGCTGAGTTGGTGGGCGTTTGCGGGTGTGTGACGGGGCATGCGTGTTGGGAGGGTGGAGGGAGAAGCCAGCGACTCAGGCCTGCGCGAGTGGCCCCGTACCACTGCCTCTGCCCTTCAGTGGGCGTCCGGAGCCCATGCTCCCTGTCAGTCCTGAACACCCGTATTTGGTCGAATGCTGCTGTCCTGATGGCTCATGTGGCCGTCAGTCACCAACGTGCCCCTCCCCCCATTCCGATACGACCCCTGAGGGCCTTAGTCAGGACAAGGTTACTGCCACCCCAGCCTCAGGAGCCACCGGCCGGGGCAGCAGGTGCGGAGCCGTGGGCACTCACTGTGGGACGGGCCCTCTGCGGGAGCTTCTTAAGGAGGGGGCTGGCTCGCCCTGCCCCCCACCCGGGGACCCGGGGACTGAGGCCCCTTCCGTCTCCGGAGAGGCTGCTGAGAGCCACGGACTGGAGGGTGTGGAGTCATCACCGTGCCTGTGCACTGGCCCTGGGTCTGAGGTGCCGCAGGGCTGTGCGCGGAGAGGGGCCCTGGGCGCCGCGGGGCGAGGCCCGGGTTAGCCGGCCAGCACTCCCGCTCACGGGAGGGGCCCAGGAAGGCCGCTGCCCGAGCCTGGTGGCATGTGGGGGCGGGGCTCACAGTGGGCAGTGGGATCTGTGCTCTACACGGTCTTTGGGAACAGTTACAAGACCCAAACGGCCTAAGTCAGCCATTGTCATCCTCCGTGGAGTTGGGTGTCAGAGCGTTTCCTGCACGTCTCACGTGAGACGCCGTGTGAAGGCATCAGGTGCCTGGCGGAGAGCCCGGCGCCTTCCTCCCGCCCCCCCGGCCTCGGGCTGTCGGCACAGGGCATCTCCTGGGGACACCGGCTGGGCAGGTGGCAGCGGGTGGGCACACCTCAGGAGGAATGTGTGGGAAGAAGGAAGGGCGACCTTTCCTCAGGCCACTCAGGGTCTGGGGTCAGATGGGAAGGGAGGTGGGGACACGGGCTCCCTGCTCTCACGAGGCAGAGCCCAGTCTGTGTCCATCTGTTAAAACTGGGTTCAGATTAGACGTCTATTTCTCTCGTTAAAACAGCTGCAAGGTGGGCATTCCAGGACAGAGGTAAGGGCGCCACCGGCCACTGGTCTGTCCATCAGCCGTACTGTCTTGTCGCTGGGAGGCAGGCAATGGCTCGTGGCACCTTGACTTGGAATGTGGGAGTTTCTCGCTTCGTGCTGCATCTCACGGCCTCTCCCTTCCCCCTTAGAACACCCCCCCCCCAGTGTCCACTCGAAGCCCTGATTAAGCCCTAGACCCACCCCTCCTGGTCTCATCCTGAGCTCTAGACCGTCCACGTGTGGCTGTGCTGTGGGCGGCCAGAGCCGAGAGCAAGTCCTCCCCACGCCTGGGGCAGATCCGGATGGAGCCCTAGCCTCCCGGTCTGCCGCCTGCCCTCCCCCAGGTCCGCCTGCGCCTGCACGCTGGTCTTCCCTCTGCTCCTGCCCCCGTCCATCCTCAAGCCCTGGCCCTTCCTAATCGGATCAAGGAGTGTTTCTCGGCCGCTGCCCTCCCCGAGGCCCCAGCGAGGCTGGCCTTGACCTCTTGCTAGCAGGGCAGGCTTCGGATAGGTAGTTGGCCTGCCCCTGAGGCCGTGGCCCTGTGATGTCTTTGGGCGGGGAGGGGGGGGGCGGAGGCAGGGCTCCCTTGGGCCTCTGGGCAGCTGCCTGTGTCCCGTCTGCCTGGCCCAGGGTCCCCTAGGGGGCAGGACCAGGCCTCCTCAGGCCCTCAGGGTGGGTTGTCACCTGGTGGGGGAGCCAAGACCCCTGGGGCTCTGGCAGCGCACCCTGTGAAGGGACCGAATGCACTTCCTGGGCCTCCAGGGAAGGGGTCCTGGCTTCCCAGAGGCCCACGCTGGACTTCGTGGTTATTTTTCTGCCTCCTGGACGAGCAGCCCTCTGCTAGGGAGCTGGGTATGGGAGGCTGCCCTTAAGCCGAGTCTCCCCCCCACCCCCCAGGGTCTCACCCCAGGGGTCTGATTATAAGGAGTTTGTGCCCTTCCACCCCCCACTGCCTGTCCCAGGCCCAAAGCACTAGCCTAATTATGCATGTAATTAGCTGCTTGGCACCCTCAAAATTAGCAAGTGGCTAATTGTGCCTGTAATTATCAACTGCACCCGTAATTAACCGTGTGAGTGACTTTTTGTTACGCATGTTATTGCGGATGCAAATTTGTGCCTAAGTAAGAGGCGGGTGGGAGTCAGCTCTGCTAGGGGCTGGGGCACAGGGAGCAGCCTGCCAGGCTCAGGTCAGACTGTGCCACTTGGTAGCAGGTGAGCCAGGTGGCCACGCAGCCTTTCTGAACTCCTTTTCCTCGAGGAGGGCAGCCTGGTCGGGTGTGGGTGTGTGGCCTCTGCCAGCCAGCGCTGCTCTAGAGCTAGAGGCTCACTGTGTGGCGGGGAAAGCGTGAGCCACCCCTGGGGCTGCAAGCCAGGAGGCCAGGGACACTGGGTCATGTGACCGGGCTTGGCCAATCAGAGGGCTTCCGAGGACCACCCTGAGCAGCTGAGTTCCCAGCAGATGAAGAGCCGCTGCAGCGGGGAGGGGGCCAGCGCCTCGAGACCACCCAGCAGGGCATGGGACTCTCAAGTAGACCCGGGCCGTCCGCGGCATTGCAAAGGCAGGAGAACCCAGGGCTTGATGTGTAACTTCTAGAACCTGGAAACGTTTGCACTACGGCCTGTGGGCCTTCGTTTGTACGCTTTCGCTGGCCTCACACAGGTAAGGAGTGGCTGGTTTTGTTCACGTGCGTGCTCCCCGAGCCCAGAACTGTGCCTGGGACACAGCAGGGGCTCCAGAAATGTCCGCTGGACGAACGGATCCCACTATCAACGCCGAGGCCCCGGGTGCGGCCGCCTGCTGTCCGGGGGCACCACTGGCTTCTCGAAGGCACGGAGAAACACAAGCCAGGTTGAGGCCGACTATTTCAAAGGGGAACTTTATTGACTCGCCGGGAGCAGCGCCAGGGCCCCGCCTCCGCCCCAGCACACCGCTCGCTGTGGAACCGGCCGCCCGGCACTAAAAACACACTGAGAAAACATCGATGCTCTTCCCTTCTTTTCTTTTTTCCTTTTTTTTCTTTTTTTCTTTTTTTTTGGTACAAAATGATACAAACAACAATACAAAATAGTTGTGCTGTTGACGGTTACAAAAAAAGTTGGGGCGTTGCCTAACTGCGCGGTGCTGGGAGTCGCAGTGGGACACGTCACACTCCGGTATCTTTCCCCAAAACAACCACAGTCATGCGGGCTGCTACACATTTTGTCCATTTTCAGAAAGAAACATGCAAAAAACAAAAATCAGAACGGGAAAAGGAGAGAAAAGAAAGAGCAAAACGCGTTCCAATTATACACAGAGTGGCTCCCGCCGTGTGGCCGCTGGGCAGGGCCGGCCCGGCGCCGGGCCGTGTGGGCTGGTCCACGGGATGCGCTGTGTGTGGGAGACTTTCTTTTCAGGTTTTTTGGTGCTTTTTTTTCTTTTTTTAGCACCGACAAACACGGAGACTCCCCTAACTTTGTACCTTGCAGAAGACAGAGGTGCCATCTCAAAGGACCATGTGTGTTGGCCAGTGCTCATGCTAGGGAAACTGAGGCAATTCGAGGACCTGACGTTTGGCCGTTACCCCGACGCTTTGGTGGTGGGAGGCCCAGACACGGGGGGGTCCTCGGCTGGGGTGCGCGCCAACCACTGCCTCGTTCTCGCCTCTGCCCCGCAGCACAGCTGTGTCCTGTCCACAGAACGAAACCCCCTACGGAAAGGAAACTGTGCCCTAGCACTTTGCCGCGTCTGGGCCTCCGTGACCCTGATCATGGGCACATGGTGTCTACAAGCTACGTGAGAGAAGCGTTTGACACTGCTTGCACACTGAGCTAACCCTAACTTGACCTCGGGACCTGTTCCGAGGTGGATGTGGGAGGGCGCGGGAACCCCCTCTTGCTCTGGCCCCCAGGGACTGCAGGGGCGAGTGAGAGGGGCAGCTGTCTAGACATTTTGGAGCAGGGATGGCGCGAGAGGTCCCCCATCAACACCCCCCAGCTGGCTGCCAGAGCCTCAGCCTGCAGGATTTAGACCGGGTGGTGGTGAGGGGCAGGGGTGTGGGGTGAGGAGGCAGAGGACACAGGCACCTATGCCGGGGTCCACGGGATCGGTGTGCAGGAGGCCGGGTCCTGGGCCGGGCCTGGCACATCTGTCCCTGAGGAGAGCCCAGGGCCTTGGGGACCCAGGGGTGGACTCTGGACTTCAGAGAAGAGCCCACAGCTGCCTCAGCGCCTGGACCGTGTTCACACTCAGAAGTTCGACAGGTGGATGAACTTTCCAAAAACAAACAAAACACAGAAGATTCCGACTCACCTCCACTAGCCCTGACCCCACCAGCAAGCCCTCGAATGGCCACGCCCCCAGACGCCGGGACAGTCCTTGGCTGGGCCCAACGCATCTGTGGGGCTCAGCTTTGGATAGCGGTCCTGGCCTCCGCCCCTTGCAGACCAGCCCCCCGCCCCGACCCTGTGAGACTGCGGTCTGCACGGAGGGGGCATCCAGTGTGACACGGTGACTGCCTTTGTCCCTCCCTTCCTCCCCAGGCAGGCGGGACAGGGTCAGGGACAGAGCCTGCTACAGGCTCGCCACCATCAGGCCACACACGAGCGCTCACGGCCTCAGCTGAGCTCTGGGAGAACGCGGAGTTGGCGAAGGGTCTGGTGTGGGGCGGAGCCCTGCCCTCCAGTGGGGACAAACCCAGGCTCACTGCACACACGGTCCCTCAGGGACACCTCTGAGGCCAAAGTTGTTTGGAAAAGAGGGTGATCATAGGCAAGAAACAGGTCATAGACCGAGACTGCATCAAAGAACCCCAGACCCCAGACGGATGGCACGGAGAGCAAGCTGAGTGCCCACCCCCCAGGCCCTCAAGGCTTTGCCTGACCCAGGGCTCCAGGGCGGGAAACTGCCCCCAAGTGTATCCCAATGCCAAGTCCCGCCCAGGGCCAGCGCACCCTTCGCCCCCTTTCTTGGGGAGCCTGTGAATAGACCCGGGTTCTCCCACAAGGCTGTCTTCTCCTGCAGGGGCCCAAGGAACCTCTTCTCACCCAGCAAGCAAGCACGGTGAGGTCTCCCCAGTGGGTCTGGGGACACGGCGCCTTTCACTGTCCTGCGGAACGGACTCTTGAGTCAGGTGTGCGCGTCGGACCTGCCCGTGCAAAGGGCTGTTCCAACTCTGAGAGTCGGCAGCTGCTCAGGGCTGACCTGAGTCCGGAGGAAAGGAGACAGGCTGCTGCTCCAGGTGGGCGCCGTCCAGACGCGCCTGGGGGACAGACGGCGCAGCGACGTTGGGACAGCCGGGCCACTCGGAGCGTGTCTTTGCCGTGCACGTGAGCTCAGGAGCAGCAGGGACTCGGACGCAGAAAGGCTGCGGCTCGTGCGGTTCCCAGCCCTGCCTGCCGTCGGCACGGCCCTCGGGGTGGCTGGCCGCGCCGTTCTCGGGGGCTGGTCCTCTGACGGGGTCCTTCAGGAATCCAATCGTGAGGGGTGGAGGGCTCGAGGCAGGGTTTCTGGGGATGCCGGCTGGTTTGGGCTGTGGCTTACGGGGACGCCGTACTCTTCCGGACCAAAGGCAACAGGGACTTGGGCGGAGTTTGGGGCAACAGTCGTCTCTGGGGGCGGGACCCGGGGACAGCCGAGGGCAGAGAGGGTGAGCATCAGGGAAACCCCTTGGCGCCCTCCCCACCCCAGCTATCTACAGCGTCTGGCGTCAGAGGGCAGCCAAAGACGCAGGGAAAGCCAAGTGCACACAGTGGCGTGTTTGGTGGGCAGGCCCGCCTCCGCCCCTGGGGAACGCTCTGCGGCTGGGCGTCCTGCATCCCTCCAGCCTCACGGACACCTGAGGGCTCAGGAGACCCCGACCGTGTAGAGCAAAACTGGAGAACTCAGAAGGGCTGATGGGATTTGGACCCCAAACTGTTAAGCAACTTTTGTTAAGCAAATCACCCACTTAAGAAAAGAAAGACCCAGTCTCCCCGATTCCTTAATTGGTGCCTTCAGAGCGGGACTGGCTGGGGCTGGGGGCGCTCAGGACGGGGTTGGGGGGACGTACGTGGTCTGTCTGCTTGCTCTTAGTCACTCCTGAGTTTGAGGGAATCTGATACATGTACCAAAAGGCACTTTCTTTTTTTGTTTTTAAAAACAGTGCTTCTGTTCTAGGAAATTCAAGTTAAGACAGAGGGCCTCCCGCTCTCCCGGCGCCAGCCCGCTCCTGCGGTGGGCCGTGCGCGCCGCGGGGCGGGTCGCGTTCATGCCAGACAGCTCACTGTTGGGGGGGCTGGGGCGGGGAGGGACCCCTAACACACCACTGAGGGACACGTCCGTCCGCAGGGAGCCGGCAGCCCGGCGCCCGCACAGGCCCCCCGGCCGCTCAGTCCTCCTCGCCGCCTCCGTACATGTCCGCCAGCTTCTTGAACCTGGGCCCCCAGTCGTTCAGGTAATCGTAGTCTTGGTCCCCGGAGCTGGTCGAGCTCAGGGAGCTGACGGAGCCCGCGGTGGAGCCGCTGCCTTCGTAGTCGAAGACCAGCAGCGAGTCGTAGGGGGGAGCTGTGGGGTCATTGTCGGCGGCTCGGAGGCCCTGGGTCACAGAGACACGGGGTGAGGGGTGGGGGACACGGGGCGCCCAGGAGAGGGGCTGGGGCGCAGGCCAGGCAGCTGCGGTCCGCGGGCTCTGTGTGCAGCAGGTTCTCAGCAGGCGCTGCCTTGTCTAACCTCGCGGCCTCAGAGAACTGAGTAGGGGTGGGGTTCCAGGAAGCGGGAACCGGGACAGGGCGCAGAGGGCTGCGCGGGGCCTGGGGGCAGCCCCTCCCCAGGGGGCAGACGGGCCGTGATCCCATGCCACTGCCACACGGAATGTGACCCTGAGGTGGCCAGAGGTCGGAAATCTCAGGTTGTCATGTTCCCTGTCCCCCCAGTGAACAAAACTGGGTGACGCAGCAGGTGTGGCCAGAGCCCCTCTCCTGCACCCCTGCCCCAGGGGTCCCTCCTGCGGGACCCTGCGGGTGGCGGGTGCACACCCCTGCTCCTGAGCCCATGGGGGAGGGCTGCTGCCGGCCCTGGGCGTCCCCGTGGGGAGGGGCTCCCGCTGGCCCAGGGCGTCCCCGTGGGGTGGCCTGGGGGCCCACTGCGGCCGCCGGATGCAGGACACACGTCACTGCCCAGCCCCGCCCTGGGAAGGGCGCCCTTATCAGCCCTCAGTAAGAACGGTTTGAAGTTGCCACGTTCACTTTTCTCTAAGAATTGTCTAAAACGGGCCTTTAGTCCTAGATCGGGGAAGACATGCTTCTTGGGGTTTTGAAATTTCATCCCATCCCAGGGAGGAGGCGACGCCTCAGGCCGATCAGCTCAGGGCAGTTGTAGAAATGCGACCTGCGGCCGGGACGGGAGGTGCTACCGGAATGTCCTGAGAATGTTCGTGTCTCTGCCCCCCCCCCCATGGCCACACTCTGTTCAAGTCCGTCGTTTCATAGTTAGATCCTGGCATGGGTGGGGTACGCGTGTCACCAGCCCCTCTTAATGCGGCAGCGTCAGGGAGCAGACGGGGGTACACACAGGGACGCTGCGGGGACAGGGCAGCCCCTGAGCCCTATTCTGGCTCTGCCCCCTCAGCCCGGCCGCCCGCCCCACGCTGCCAGGGGGCTGGGGGGCGTTATGCTCAGTGGAGCGGCCCTGCTCGGGGGCCTGGGCTGCGCCCGGAGCACCCACCTCGGTGATGAAGTCTCCAATGTCTCCCGGGTGCGGCACCACGGGCCTGACCGGGTACTGAGGCTCGGCGCCCACGGGCCGCTCGTCCACCCGCCGCACCCCCGGGGCCTTGCTCAGCACGTGCTCCATGGCCTCCGGCTGCTGCAGCTGGCTGAGGTCGTAGTCCTGGGGAGGGGCCGGGAGGGGGTACAGTGGGGGCCACAGGCAGGGGCACCCAGCAGGCCTGCCCTCCCCACAGAGCCCGCTCCCCAAACTCGACGGCAGGCGCCCTGGCCAGCCTGACGCTCCCCCCCCCAGGGCCCGGGACACCCCCCCCAGCACACGCCTCCTTTGTTCCTGGGAACAGCCCCGGCTGGGGCTCCTGTTACCCTGTCTTAAGGGGGCACTAAGCTGTACTGGGGGGCACAGCTGCCCCAAGCCCCCCCCCCCCCCCGCAGACCAACCAGCGCCTGAGGGGCCTGGCACCGCCCCGTTGTGGGCGCGGGCGGGTGGGCACAGTGTTGGGGTCCTGGCTAAGCGGGGAGAGCAGAGTGGGGGCGCCGTGCCAGCCCCAGGTGCAGGGGCGGCGGGGAGGGAGGCCAGGGCGCGGGCGCCTTCGCACCGAGAGGGGGGAAGAGGCCGTCCGGCCGCGGCCCCTCGCCTCACCTGGTCCTCCTCGCCGCCCCCTTCCTCGTCGTACTTGAGGATGTTGTCGCGCACGTCGTCCTCGGGGTCGATGAGCAGCTGCTTCGTGTGGCGCTCCTTCTCCCTCCGCTTCATCCACACGACGAACAGCAGGACCATGGCTGTGGGGGGCAGCGCCGTGAGGGGGGCAGCGCCGTGAGGGGGGCCGCGCCGTGGGGGGGGCCGCGCCGTGGGGGGGGCCGCGCCGTGGGGGGGGCCGCGCCGTGGGGGGGGCCGCGCCGTGGGGGGGGCCGCGCCGTGAGGGGGGCCGCGCCGTGGGGGGGACGCGCCGGGGGGGGGCAGCGCCGTGGGGGGGGCAGCGCCGTGAGCGGGGGGGAGGAGGTCAGTGCCGCGCCGTGTGCGGGGGGGCGGGGGGGCCGCGCGGTGAGCAGAGGGGGCGGGGCCGTGCTGTGAGCAAGGGCGCCTGCGCGTGTGAGCAGGGGCGCCTGCGCGTGTGAGCAGGGGCGCCTGCGCGTGTGAGCAGGGGCGCCTGCGCGTGTGAGCAGGGGCGCGCACGCGCGGCTCAGCCGGACTCACTGAGCAGGATGACGATGCAGATGAGGATGGCCACGATGGCGCTGGTGCCCAAACCAGCCGCCGCCACGGCGCCAACCGTGGTGCAGTCACCGTTCTCGTCGCACGGGCACACCTTGACCTTGATGACCGATGTGTTGGACAGTGGGGGGTTCCCGGAGTCTGTGACGATGATGGGGACGTCGTACATCCCAGCCTCCAGGTAGAGGATGCGCAGGCTCAGCTGAGCATAGTCACCTGGCAGAGGGACGGGGCAGGCTTCGTTCAGTCTGCAGCCCGTGCGCCCGTACAGCAGGGCGTGAGGGCGCAGACACAGTCCGACAGCACGAAAGTCTAAAATATCTGTTTGGTTCCCGCACGTGCTAGATCACTCCATAAAGTGAAAAGACATTGGCAGTGCAAGAAAAGAGTGATTGCAGCGTGTAGGATGAAGTCATTTCCTTAATATATAAAGAGTTCTACTAAGTCAATTAGAAAAAAAAAACCTCAAATAGGCAAGAGCATTGAACAATTAATGGAAGAAACAGCAAACGGCCAGTGAATAGATGAAGAAAGTGCGCTGGGAGTTAAGAGATGAAAATGGAAACCACGATTTTCGCTAACATTGGAAAAATGCTTTTTAAAACTGACATTCAGGGCTCCTGGGGGGCTCAGTCAGTTAAGCATCCGACTCAATTTCAGCTCAGGTCGTGATCTTCTGGTTCATGGGATTGAGCCCTGCATCACACTCTCTTTCAAAATAAACATAAAAAACTTCTAAAACATAAACAATAATAACATTCAGGCGAGGGCTTGGGTAAACTCTCTTGCACTCCTGGGGAAGCTAGAAAGTGGTGTGACCTTTCCGGATCCATCCTCGAGGTGCCAGACCACCTCAGAATCTGGATGCCCCTTTAAACAACAAATCCACACCTAGGGAAGTACCCTCAGGAAATAGATGGGTCGGGGTCCCACGGGTCGGAGGCCCGCGCAGGAAGCAGTCGCGGACACGAGTGGCTGGGGCTGCAGGATGTTGACGGCCGTGCTCGTTCTAACAGTGGGACCGCCTTCGTGGCCCCCTCGGGACGGGCCGGAGCAGGGCCAGCGTCCTCAGCCTCGTGCGGCTCCCGTCTCCACCGCTCACTCTTCCATGGGCCCCCTTGGGTGCCGCGCCCCAGCCGTGCCCCTTCACTGGAGCCTGAGGCGGGCTCACCGTTTAAGCGGGTGATGGTCCAGTTCTTGCGCACAGCGGCCGGGACAAAGGGCAGCTCGAAGACGTAGGGGCCGATGTTGGGGTCCACGTCGGCGTCGGCCGCGGTGATGTTGATGGCGTTCAGGCTGGGCTTCTCGCAGATCTGGGCCTCCTTGGGCAGCAGCTCCGGGGCGTTGTCGTTGATGTCGATTAGATAGATCTGGAGGGTCCCTGTGCCGCTGGCCGGGGGGATCCCTGCGGGACAGACGCGGGGTGACCGTGCGGGGCACTCCTGGCACTCCACGGCCACAGGCACGCGGTGATGCACGTGGGATCCGCCCGGGGACAAACCACAGCCACGAACCTGCACTAACACCCGCTGTACAACACACACAGCCACTCAGCTGTGCACAGCACACGGACAGAGTGCACGAGCACACAGCCACGCAGCCACGCCAGGACCTGCACCTGCCACACGTGCTCTCACACGCCCACACGCGCAACAATGCACACACGCACGAACTCGCCCACAGCACAAACACAAACACACACTCTACCACACCGCTCACACAGGCATGCACACACTTGTACGCACACACACAGTTGCTCATAACATTCATGCACATGGACATGTGCGCGCGCACACACACATGCACACGCACACACATGCAATACTCATGCGCACACGCACGGTTGCCCACAGCACTCACGCATGCGCGCGCACACACACATGGTCGCACACAGCACTCATGCATGCTCACATGCACACACACACACTCGCACACTCCTGCACGCACACACGGTTGTCCACAGCACTCTTGCGGAGCTCTACTGGTACGTGGCTGCAGAAGATGGTGCTCACACTCAGGACCCACACCCCTCCGGGACCCCGTGCGGCTGGCACCTGCTTCCTCCCTCTCTTCTGAGCCTGGGCTCCTTGGGGCAAAGCCCTTCCTCCAGATCCTACGAGCCTGGGTGCAGCCTGCCCTGTTCATCTGCCCTCTACTTTCTGCTGCTTTGGCCACGGGTTCATTTAAAGCCACTTTCTAATCCAGCAGCTTGAGCTGCTGGAGGAGAGGCACCTCCAGCCCCCACAGCAGCGGGCACATCTCACGGTCGCTTCCAGGGCTGGGCTTTTGCAGGCCTGGTGGGTCAGGGAAGGCAGGAAGGAGGCTCGCGGGGGGTTATCAGGCCCCGGCTCCCACTTGCTATGGAATAAGGAAAAAGCCTTTGTGCGAGGGCGGTTCTTGCTCCTGAAGCCTTAGCTGTACTGCTGTCCTAAAACCCACCAGGCATAGGTCGGCCTCAGGACCTTTGCACAAGCTGCTGCCTAACTCTGGGACTCCCCTGCTGCCCCATCTTCCCCTGGCTTGTTCCTTCTGGTCCCATAGGTCTTGGCCCCACAGTCTCACAGCGCCCTCCCTCCCATGCCTCGTTTTGTTTTCTTCCAGAACTTGATTCCTGAAATTATTGGTTGACTTGTTTCTCATTTGTCTCGAGGGGGCAAGAGACTGCTGAGTTGTCCATCAATATCCATTTCATTTCCCTTTTTGTCCTTAAAAGAACTGGAGCCCCAGGTTTTACCTGGGGTCATCACTGCCCAGCCAGAAGACACGTTTCTCAACATCCTTTGCAATGAATTGTGACTTCATGGCTAAGTTCTGGCCTTTCTGAGCTGGGGGTGAAGTCCTTAGAAGGGCAGAAATGTGTCCCTGCCTTCCTTGGTCTTCCTTCTGTCTGCCGGCATGTGGTCGTGATGGCTGGAGCACCAGCAGCCATTGTGGACCATGCTGTAGCTCGCCAAGCCCACGCAGGTGGCCAGAGTGAGCCTGCTTTCTCACACCGGGCCTGAGACCCAGGGCTGCCTGGCCGCGTCTTCTCTTATGTGAGAGGAAGGGAACCTCGCTCCTGCTGCAGTTTCTAGCACTGCTACACGGCTGAGCCTGTCGAGCTGACACACGGGCCCCTGGAACGTCAGACTTGTCTGTCCCGTCCCGCTGAGCAGTGGCGGCACAGAGCAGCTCATGGTAATGACAGCAGTGAAGGCCCTGCTGACCTGAGCCAGGCCCTGTTCCCAGTGCCCTGGGGGACACGAGCTCACTGATTCTCACACACAGCCCCAGCGGAGGAGGCAGGGTTACCCCACTTTGCAGAGGAGGCCACTGAGGCACGGACTGATCAGATCTCTTCCTACCACTACGTGGTGCTGGGACTGATTCCTGGCTCTAGATTCTTTCCTCTCCCCTGCTCCCTCTCCCCTCCTGTGCAGAGTCGGGTGGACACCCTGGGCTCTGGGCCTTGCCGGCTCCTGGGTCCCAGGCAGGTGGCCCTGGGGCCTGGAGTCCCAGCACCCAGATATCTGTCCACATCCCTTGGAAGGTCCAGTGCTCGTGAGCCTTCTTCCTGCCCCATACCAGCCCCACTGCTGCCGCCTCTGCTCAGCCCTCCCTCATCCCTGCCCGGCTCTCCGCACCCCTGCCCAGCTCTCTTCACCCCTGCTCGGCCCTCCCTCACCCCTGCGCAGCCCTCCATACCCCTCACTGCTGACCAGCCCTCCTCGCCCCTGCTAAGTCCTCCTCATCCCTCTCAGCCCTCCCTGCTGCTGTTCAGCCCTCCCTCACCTCCACCCAGCCCTACCCGTCCCTGCTCAGCCCTCTTCACCCCAGCCCAGTTCGCCTTCATTCTCACTACCCCAGGCTCCTTGGGGCTCCTCAGTCTGGCTCGGGGGCCTCGCTGTCACCCTTTCTGCCGTCACCCTCTCTGGGCTCCCAGAGCTCATGCCATTGGTATGTGGCTTCTCATAGGTGTGTCTGCCCTGCCTCTGGGGCCCCCTGTTCGACTGAGGCTGCAGGGGCCTGGGTCAGGGGCCTGGGTCAGGGGCCTGGGTCAGGGGCCTGGGTCAGGGGTGGTCAGAGCCACAAGGGGCTGCATCCCAGGGGCTGCTTAGGGGAGGCCCTCCCCTGCTCACCTGGGGGTCAGGCAGCCACCAGAGCGCCGAACAACGCCTGCCTGGGGGCATGAAGGGCGGTGAGGCCCCTCGCGGCTCGCCCCCCTGCTTCCCTCCTCCACCTTCTCCAGGTGCCGGAGGGTCCCTGCTCGGGCTCCCTGTCATGGAGCCCGCGGCCCGGCGAGCACCTGGCAGTCACCCCCCGGAGTGGGACGTACCGTTGTCAGCCGCCAGGAAGGTGGCCTCATAGACGTTGTTTTTGATGTAGAGGGACTCGCGGTCAAGGATGGCTGCCGTGGTGATCTGGCCATTGGTGGCATTAATGTGCAGCCAGTTCGCCGGGTCCGACAGCTTTGAGTATCTGCGGAGGGAGGAGGTGAGGGGGTGAAGGGGGGAGTGACCCCGAGCCCCCGGCCGCCCTGGCCACCAGGCCTGCCAGCCGGCACTTCGCAGGACACGGCCCTCGCGGGGCGCCTGCCTGGACCCGGGGCCTTCCCTGCAAAGGCGGCTCGCAGACACCGTGGGGACAAGGACCCCAGGAGGCAGGTGCTCCCAGCGGCCCCCCTTCACAGACGGGGAGACTGAGGAATGGAGGGGTAATGACAGCCGGTAGACGAGCCTGACCAGGACTGGCCTGGCTTGGGACACGGCTGAACGTGGTGAAAACCTTCTGCCTTCCTGGGCGGAGACATGAGGGTGTGCGGCGTGCGGAGCGCCTGTACCCCTCGGGCCGGGGGGGCCCCGCTGCCCCCAGGACCGGAGCTCCCGCTGCCCCTCCTGGCCACACGGCACAAGTCCTGGCCCACCTCACGGCCTGCTGCATGAACCGGTCGGGGTCCACTGCCGAAAACGTGGTCAGCACGGTGCCCGTGGGCACGCCCTCCTCCAGGCGGATCAGCTTGTGGTTCGAGGGGAAGTAGGGCGCCTCGTTGACGTCCATGACGGAGATGGTCACCCCCGCCGTAGACTGGAAGGACATCTGGATCCCGCTGGCCAGAGGCGCCTGGTTGGACACCATCACGGTCAGCATGAACGCCCTGTTCAGCTCGTAGTCGACGGCCTGGAACAAGAGAAGCCCCAGGGGCTGAGCTGGCGCAGTGCCCGCGGGGCTGTGGCTCGGAGGGTGGTGGCCGTGGGCTGGTTGGTGTGCGGCCACCGCCCCGATCTGTGCCCAGGAGGCTGGTCCCTAGGGAGGCCGGCCGCAGGCTCCCTTGTCTCTGGCTTCGCACGGAGTTCGCCGACGGGAGGAGAGAGAGTTGGGGTAAAGGGCACCCGCCGCGCCTTCCCATCATGCCGTGCGAGGGCAGTGGCGGGGCTCCTGGGGGCCGGGGGGCTCCGGCTCCCTGTGGCGGCACTCCCTGCGGCTCCCTCATCGGGTGCCGCTCCGTCCAGCCTGGCGCGGTCAAGGCCTCACTGTTCGTCCAGGGCTGCCCTGCTGGGTGCCATGGGGGGTCCTGTTCTGACCACCCAGCAGCCCCAGGTCGCTGACACACCGGGGCTGTGGGTCCCTCCCTCTGTGCGTGGCTCCTGCATTAACATGAGTCCTGGTTACACCCTTTTGCGGCATCAGAAGCCTGACTGATAAACGCCAGAGCCCGGGGGGGCAGGGGGTGGGGTACGGAGGCCCTGGGGCCCTGACGCCTGTAACTGCACATAACGACCCAAAGGTGGGCTGCAGCAGCCTCACAGGAAGAGACACGACACGACACGTGACACGCGACACGACACACGTGACATGACACACGACACACAACATGTGACATGACATGACACGCGACACACCACACGCGACACACGACACGACACGCGACGCGACACGACATGTGACACAACACGCGGCACACGACATGTCACGTGACACACGGCACATGACACGTGACACATGATACGACACGTGACACGTGACACGACACGTGGCACACGACACGTCACGCAACACGCGACACGACGCACTGCAGCAGCATTTCACAGCCTCCGTTCCGGCGCCCGCACGGGACGGCCCCCCGCGGCATGTGGCTCACGGAGCCTGCGCGCCAGGCAGCCCGATGGCCACGGCGCGGGCGGCTGAGCGGCGGCCCGGGCGCGGCGGGGGGTCTGCCGCTGTGAGGAGGAAGGAGGCAGAACGAGCTGACGGGACGGAGCTCCAGCAGAAGCAGCAGGGGTGTCGGACGGGGAGGAATTCGGGTTCGTGTCCGTATCTGTTCCTATTTGTGGAAAGGAAGACCGTAGGGGTGAAGCGCAAAAATACGTGAAAATGGTCCCCTGGCAGCTGGGGGACGGAACGGGGTGGAGGGAAGGGCCGGGGGCACGAGTTGGCTGTGTGCACGTCACAGAGCTTTGACTCGGGCCCTGTGACACCTTACATGCCACTGGTAACACTGCGAGTAATGTCACACATGTGAAGCGATCTCTGAAGACTGTGAAGTCGACTACATACCACCCGGCAACGTGGCCCTCAACGTGGGCTCAAGAAAACGAGCCCAGGTGACCAGGGGTATGGGGCTTGTTTGAAGGACAACAATCGTTGCAGAGACTTTAAACTTACTTGGTCTTCTTGCTGCTGGTAGTGATTTGGGGCTTGTTATCGTTGTTTTTTTAAGCGTATTTATTTATTTATTTTGAGAGAGAGACAGAGGGAACAGGTGAGGAGGGGCAGAGAGAGAGGGAAACACAGAGAATCCCAAGCCAGCTCGGCCCTGTCAGCACAGAGCCCGACGCGCGAGACCTGTGAGATCATGACTGGAGCCAAAACTAAGGGTCGGACGCTTAGCCGACTGAGCCGCCCAGGCGCCCCTTGGACTTGTTAATTTTAAAGCTTTTTGTGTATATTGCAGGATAATGTAAATAAACGCGTGTAATAATGTGGTTAGGAAGTGAGAGCTTCAGGGTACCCTGGTACCAAATTTTAAATTGGAATAAAACGGGCGTCTGAGTCGGTGAAGTACAGGGGGCCGGTCAGCGTGGGCACGGGGAGGGCTGCTTCCTCGCTCTGCCCCCTGGAGCCCCGAGGAGAACGGCAGTGGCAGCAGCGAGCCCCTCCCTGCCCGGGTGCTGGCTTCTAAGTGCCCCCCTCGCAGGAGACACGGCTGACCTGGACGGGAGGCAGGCAGGCGCCAGATGAACCCAGGGCGTCGGGCTGGGCCACAGTCACGGAGGCGCTCAGGAAGGGACCGGGAGCAGCCAGGACCCTTCATGACCACAGCTGACCAACGCACGGCGAAAATACAAAAGTCCACGCATTCTTGACAGTAATGAGAACATGTGCGCGCGCACACACACACAATTTTGTCTATCACTCTGGTGGGATGATCCACAGTCTCCAAAGACATCCGGGTCCTGACGTCTGGAATCTGTGACGACATCGCCTTCCACAGCACAGGGGCTTTGAGGACATGATGGGAGATGGCCCAGGACCACCCAGATGGCCAAAATGCCATCTGAGGGTCTTTGCCGGAGGGACAGAGGGACACAGCATGAGCAGTGTGTGCGCCGGGGTCTGGCTCTAAAGATGGAGGCCCACGGTCAGAAGTCGAAAATCAGTGTCACCGGGCCAAGGTCAAGGTGTGGGTGGGGCTGGGCCCTCCTGGAGACTTGCCGTTTCCACTCCCGAGGCCCCTCCTCCACCTTCGGAGTGAAGCCCTGGCACCTGCGGTCCCTCTCTGACCCCTGCTCCCTCCCCATGGCTCCTCCGGTGCTCACCTCCCGCACCCGCCCTGGCAAAGATGCTGAGTCCATGGGGCCCACCTGGGCTTCTCAGGGTAGCGCCCTCTCTCAGAGCCCCTAACTGACCGCTACGCACTGGAAGGTTCCGGGCCTTTCTGGGGGGGCCGCTGCTCTCACCACTGTGACCCACATTTCCCGGAAGTGAAGAGCCCTTGATGCTGAGGGAAAGCTCTCTGTTACTGACTCATGCCGGCCAAGGAATGACGGAGTCTTAGAAGCACCCTCTTGTACTGAGTACTGAGCATCTGGACCAGGATCACCAGCAGATGACAAAACCGGCAGGTGGGACGGACAAAGGACTGCACCTGTGCGGGGACAGAGCCGCACGCCGCAGGCTGCTTGCTGGCCATTGATGGGGAAGCGTCAAGTCTACAATGACAGAAGGGGCTGTCGCCCCCCGAGCCCACTGGTCTCGTTCCCAGGGCACAGGATTGTGGGAGAAGAGGAACAAGACAGATATCATCAGCCAACTGGCCCAGTGTCTACGACAGGTCAATGGTGGGTGGAATGGTGGAATCTTCTAGATTATGAGAGGTTCACGAGATGTTACAACCAAATGCATACAGGGAGGGACCCTGTTCAGATCCAGATCTGAAAAACCTCTGCAAACAGACACATTTAGAAAGATTAAGGGGAACTGAGCACAGGTTTGTACTGGAGACTATGAAGGAAATACAGCTCGCGTTTTCTGGTGCACAACACGTGCAATGGTACGTGGTGAGGTACGCAAAGCGTATTTCTGAGGGAGACACGTCCTGACATACTTAGAGGTGTAGGATCACGAGGTCTGGGAGTTAAGAACACATTTCGGCAAGAAGCCTAGATGGGGGAGGGGTACGGAACAAGCTCACGGCTGAGACCCAAGTGGCGGAGGAGGTCACACCGTCTCTGACTCCTGGCCGTGCCTGGGAGTTTTCATAGAACGTGCTACTGCTTGGAGAGGAATTTCTTTGCTGTGCCAGCTTTCCCTGTGAAACCGGTACTTGCTGGGGGGGGGGGGGCTGCTCACCGATCTAACCTGTGCCATGCACACCCCTCCCCTGCCCAGGCCCTCACAGCAGCTGGGGTTCCACTTATCACAAACCTTACACCTGCTGCATCAAACCCAGGCCTTCTCAGCTGTACGGAGGGGGTTAAGTACCAAACGAAGGGATTTAAATAGTGAATAGGGACAGTGAATAGGGGCACCTGGGTGGCTCAATTGGTTAAGCATCTGACTTTGGCTCAGGTCATGATCTCACAGTTCGTGGGTTCGAGCCCCGCGTCGGGCTCTGTGCTGACAGCTCAGAGCCTGGAGCCTGTTTCGGATTCTGTGTCTCCCTCTCTCTCTGCCCCTCCTCTGCTCACGCTGTCTCTCTCTCTCTCAGAAATAAAGAAAACATTAAAAAAAAAAAAAGCAGTGAATAACCCTGGGGCATGGGCTTCTCGGGACCGAAGCCGGCCCCACCCCATGGGAGGCCCAGGAAGCAATGGCAGAGACTGGGGCTCTGGGCAATGTCCCCATCGCTCTCTCCAGATGACACAGGCGTCATCTCCTTGCCCAAGGAAGGGAGGGTCCCTGCAGGCACCGAGGAGCCCCGCCCCTGCCACGAGGGGCCACGTCTTCCTGTGACACACGACTGATGTGCTCCCCTGCCCCTGACATCCCTTGGGCTGTGTCTCAGCAGGGGGCCAGTGCGGGTCAGCCTGGGGGCAGTGGGGGGCGGTCTGACACTCCCCGCCCCCCCCACCGCCCACCACCTAGCACGCGGTGCTGGCTGCTGCCAGGGGCGTGCTTGTGGGGGCCTTGAGCCACACTTGCTCCTGGCAGGAGCCTCCCGGCCCAGCTGTGCGATGTGGCACGGTGGCCTGAACGACGGTGCGGGACTTCAGGCCAGAGACTGTGATCACTGCCGCCGCCCCCAGCGGTGTGGGCTTGGCTCCCTGTCCTGGACCCCGACTGCCTCCAGGGCCCACGGCGCCCACTGCACCCACGCTGTGTCCAGGTGCCCCCGACCACGCAGCGGCCGGTGCTCCAGCGCCTGCCTGGCCCCCCCAGAGTCGCCTGGGGAAGGCGCGCCTCCATTTCCATGCAGTTTCACAAAATTGTGACGGTTTTGTCTGTGAAGCAGCCACCGAAGGAAGCAATCTTTCTCCCTGTTTACTGGCTCATGTCCCCGGGGGACACGGAACAAGGCTGCATGTCATGCATTAAGATAGCATCACCGGTCTGAGCGAGAACGCCTTCCAGAAAGACCATTATGGCCAATTACCGTCCGTAGGAGGGCGAAATAAAACACACTTGTAACGGGGAGATCGACAGGTAATGCGCCCCCGCCAGTGTCCGTCAGAGCGGCTGCGTGTCCTCCCTGGGCTCGGCGTGGCTGCCCCCTGGAGGGGCAAGGACCCTCTGCTGAGAGGCGAGGGGCTGGGGGCGCCCTGCTGAGGGGGGTTCGCTTCCGGTGGGGGCCGTCACCTGCGGGGCTGCATGCCCTGGCCCCCCTGCCCCCCTGGGACCCCCCCCTGCCAGAGCCTGCCCACTGCCTCTGGAGCCCTACTGCCGGGGGGGGGGTATGGGGGGCAGGAGAGACCAATTCTTGGCTTTTCTGCTTCAAACGCTGAGGTCCAGGAGTGCGGCGGGAGAAAGGGCCTGTGATTGGTCTGAGCCTGTGGTTTGCTCCTTAGAAGAGATTGTGGTTTCATGGCTGGAGGAGGGACAGGAGGGGACACGTGGGGAGAGGCAGGGGGCTCCCAAGGAGGCTGCCGATGGTGACAGACGCCCCCTGGGGCTGGGGGCCTGGGAGCAGAGTGGCTGGAGACTGAGAGATAGAGGCCCAGTGTGGCCCGGGGGGGGGGCGGGGGGGGCCGGGGGCAGGCGGGGCAGGGTGGAGGTCAGGAAGACCTGCCGCGGGGACTTCCTCTGACTTCAGGGCGGACGGACAAAGCAGCCAGGCTGCACGAGCGGGCTGAGGGCGGGCTGAGCACACGCCTCTGCAGGGGCCCAGGGGCGCTCTCCTCCCCTGCCCTGTGCCTGGGCAGCCCCGAAGGCAGCGGAAGTCCAGGACCCCTGGGCGCACGGGCGCTGGAGACAGCAGCGGGCTGTGTGAGAGGAGGCGCCCCGCAGGGCACCTGCCGCGAGAACGTCTCCCTCGCACACCCCCGCACCTATCAGCGCCCACAGGCCGGGCAGCACGGGCCTGACTCCTCCAAGGGACCCGGGGACCCTGGTGGGACTGCAGTGACCTCCTCGAACACCGCGGAACGGGTGGGGGAGCAGCCGGTCCGTGTTGATGCGACAACAGCATGTGTCTGTCAGGAGAGCTGTCACTACGCGCCAGGCGCCGCCCCTGACCTTCCAGGTCCAGCATCTACCATACCGTTAGCGACAGCCCCGCGCAGGAGCCCCGCGTCCGGGGCACAGAGACGGCGACTGGCTCGTGCCCGCGACTGCCCCCCACCGTCCGTGCCCCCTCTGGCCGCCCTCCTCCGCAAGATGGCGTCTTGACCAAAGAACGCAAAATTAACCTGAACGTGCTTTCCGGCGCGAGGCATCTGAGCGGCGAGGTTAGAGGAAGGCCCTGGGTGCAGTCGCCACAAGAGGAAGGGCGGACGGAGGAGCGTGGCGCAGGTGACGGCCCCGTCCGGACACGCGGTCCCGGCTCCGTGGGGACGGCGTGACCGCCTGCGCGCTCAGCGCTGCGGAGCTCAGTCCGAGGTGCACGTCCGCTGGACGCCCCTGTGACCTCTGACGGGCGCGGGGCCCTGTCTCCCGCCCGGACCAGCCCCTGCCGCCACACCCCCAGCCCCAGCACGGATCCTGAGACTCGCCCATGACCCGCGCCACCAAATCACGGGTAAACACGGGACGGGGATGGGAAGCTGTGGCCTCAGTTGCTCAGAAAAATACACGACAAACCTGGAGACATCAGACAGATGAGTCCCGCCACGGTGGACAAGGAAACGCTCCTTCGCGGCTAAGCTGGATTTACCTCAGCGATCCAGGGGTGGGGTTCACCCACTCCTGGACGGAGGCGAAGTGTGGCCTCCAGGGAGGGGACGGGAGACGGGTCTGTTGGGAGGGTGGCAGGTCATGCCACCGAGTCCCTGGAGGTCACGTGACCGGCCCCCCCCTCCGGCCCCAGCAGGCGGTGCCGTCCCCAGGGTCGTGGCTCGGGGTGGGGCACGCCAGGGCTGGCAGGAAGCGAGGGCACCCACCTTCACCACAGTGACCATGCCCTCGTTGGTGACGGGGTCCGTGCGGATGCTGAAGTGTCCCGAGGGGTCCCCGCTGATGATGCGGTAGAAGGCATTCCAGTTTGGTGAGTGGGGCTGATCTCGGTCCATGACGGTCAGGTTGGCGACCACCACCTCCACCTGGTTTTCGGGCACTTCCCCGGCGAACTGCAGGGCCGAGCGGAAGGAGAGAGAGCGTTCTCACCCGTGCGGAGGCCTGCGGAGCTCAGGAGAGCCCCCACCAGCCCCTGGGGGCCCGCCCTCCGCCTACCCCCCGCGGAGTGGCCCGTTCCGCGGGCACCGTGGCATCCTGAGAGCGCTCCGCCCACCCCGGCTGCCCGGGGCTCAGCGCTGTGCCCACCACCTGCAGACCAAGGCTCACCACGAGCACGCGTGTGCACCCGCCTCCCTCCTGAACCCCCTGCAGACCCTTCCCGTGTGCCCGGAGACCCGTGCGACAGCTGGGGCGCACAAGAGAGACGCTGCAGCACCGGCTCGAGGGGTGCAGGGCCCCCCGGGGAGAATCCTGCCCGGGCGCTGTCCACGCGTTACTCCCAGCTCCTCGGGGTAACCCTGTTCTCACCCCGATTTTATAGATGAAGCAAGAGAGGTTAAGAGACCTTGGGGTACTACAAAGTGAGGTGCAGAGTGTCAGTCCTGAGGACCAGCCCCCTGTCATCGCGGGTCGGGTCACGGGATAGGGAGGAAGGGGTCCCAGGCAGCTCAGCTCCGAGCCCTCGGCCTCCGGGGCCCCCTCTGCACCTGCCTGGTCTCAGCAGGAGGAATGCCGAGGCCTCACAGGGCTCTGTTCTCACCACCCGCTGCGCACGAGGCCTCCCGGTCACACTGCCCTGTGCCCACCTGGGGGCTGTGGCCCAAACATGCCCTGTCACAGTCCAGGCCAGGCATGGCGTCGCTTTATGCAAAGGGCAGTCTTCCCGGGTGTGCAGGGCACCCGCCCCGGGCCTCGGCTGCCCCAGAGTGAACCCCCCGCCCCTGAGCTTCAGGACGGCTGGGAGGCTCCGCGGGCAGCCAGCCACGGGTCCTGCACCACCTGCGTGCTTTTGTGGCTCCGACTTTGCAGCCACCATCTGGCTGTTCTTGGACACTCTGCATCCAGTGCTGACAGCGGCCCCAGGGCCAGGCGCCTACACACACGGCCCCTGCACAGGGCTGGCCCTGAGGGGACCCCCTCCTCCTGGGCGACCGGCTCCCGGTTCTCCCCTCGGGAGCTTGGTTCGCTCTCGGAGAGACTGGGCCGGTCAAGCCCAGGGGGGCCTGGACTGGGGCAGTGGTTTTCTGCCCCTGGGCCCTTGAAGAGTCGGCCTCAGCTGGTGGTTGGGGAGGGGGTTCTGGGTGCAAAGAACAGGAAATTGGGCCACAGAGGCTTGAACACGGGGGTTGACTCCCCAGAACCGGGAGCCTGAAGGCCGAGGGTGGCCCTCGTGGTTCTGTGTCCGTGATGGGGCTGTGGCTCTGTCCTTTGTGGTTTCCTGGGGGTCAGAACGCAGCAGCTCGGCCCGTCAGGTCTGCGCTGCGTGACAGAGAAGGACGGCCGCCCTGGCACATCTGTGCAATTGGCAGCGTCTGCCTGACAGACGAGGACACGGGGGCCCATTGGGGTCTCTTCCCAGAGTCACTTTGCTGGAAGAAAGAGGAGACACGCAGACTCCTCCAAACGACCAATGTGTGCTTGGTGCGCACGGCCCGGGGCCTGGGGCCTCAGGCTGGCGGCAAATGTGTGCGGGGACGATGCAGACGGGGGTGAATGACTGCACAAGCCGATATACAGAGCAGGGATCCAGAGCCGGAGGAATCTAGAGCCCCGGCAATGCCGGCTGCCTTGGCTGGAAAGGGCTCCGTTCAACCCCAGGCCAGAGCGCAGACCTTCACCTGCACTTCACGGGCTCACGAGAGGCTCCCGCGTCAGCACCTGGACTTCGGGCTTCGACGCCCTGCTGGGAACCCCACAGCCCAGCCGCTCAGGCGCACACAGAGGGCCCTGGTCACCCGGTACTCTGTGCTCGCAAGCCTTCAAACCCAGATTCCGTCACCTCGTTAGCAAGAAAAGCTATGTATTTATCCCGAGAAGGATCTCTCCCAGCAGGTCCTCGGGTGCTGTCCATGCAGCAGCATGAGGCCCTGTGGGGGATCGGTGGGGGGGGCAGCTGGCGCCCTTGACATTCCGCCCGCTCCCCCAGCGGTCCCCATGCGCCGCAGCCCTCCAGCCCGGCTCCGCCAGCGGGATCTGCGGACCCGCAGGCCGGCCTCTGGGGGGCACACTGGCCGGGAGGGAACACGGTGCTGGCCCCTGTCCTCGTGGGACGTGGGGTGCCACAGTGCACCAGGTCCTAGTGAGGGACAGCAGCGCTACTCAGTCCAGTGGCCAGAGACCCACTGTGGAGGGGGGAGGCACTCGGCATGGGGGAGGGAGTGGCCCCGCCATCCCTGTGGGTGGGGTGGGGTCCTGGGGCGCAGAGGCCTCAGGTAGAGGAGCGTGGGGGCGGGGCATTCAGAGGGGACTTTGCTGAGGCTTAGCCACGAGGCCCAGCGAGTGCAGGGAGGGGTGGGGGGGGCCGGGGGGCCAGGAGGCGGGTCACCCTGGGGAGTGCGTGCATGCATGTGGGGGACCTGGTCCCTGCACAGGTATGGGGTGAAGCCACCCAGTGGTCCTCAGGGAGGTGGGAGCCAGTGGGAGGGCCTTGGGAGTGGGGGGCTTTGCAGGCCTCCATGCTGTCCCCCAAAGGGCCTGGAGCAGGCCCAGCGGCGCCCCTGCATCAGCGTGGGGGAGGCGGGAGACTCAAGGCCGAGACCCCCTCCCGGGACCAGTCTGCTACCCGTCCCTGCTGAGCCAGCAGGCCTGGGCCCCGCTGTCCTGGTGTCGCTTGAGCCTCCAGGAGACACGCCTCCCGCTGGTGGAGCAGCAGGCTCTCCGGTGATTGCTACCAGCCGGGGCTGTGTGGCCTGGGCCGGGTGAGAAGTGGGTCTGCCATCCACAAAACGGGCACCGTCTCTCCTGAGGCTCGGGGATGGAGGAGAACGGGCAGCCTGGCCTCGGTCCCTGAGCACAGCTACTCTGCCGGGAGGACCCAGCTCCCCGTGGGCGGAGAAGAGCGTCTGCTGCACTGGAGCCGCCTGCCCGAGGGGCCGTCCGGGTGGGTCCAGGTCTGACTTGGCCTCAAGCAGCCGTGGAAACTTAGGGGGTCCCTCAGCCCCTCTGAGCCGGGGTAGGGATGCCTGCTCTTCACCTCCCAGGACAGCAGGGGGGGCCGGCGAGCAATGTGCGGTCTCTTCAGACCTTCTAGGAATTCAGAGGTGGGGATGACCCTCTGTGGTCCTGGGGCTCCCCTTAGGGGCTTGGTGGGAATGGAGGCCTCGCATGGGGGCTGGCAAACGACAGGGCCAAGTTCAGGCCATAGCCCATTTGCTTAATAAAGTTTTATCGGCACACAGCCACGTCCCTTCATTTACGTATTATCTGTGGCAGGCTAATTGTGACATCAAGCCCCCAGACTTGAAAGTAATTACTGTATGCCCTTTAGAGAAAAGATTGTGGATCCCCACTCTAGACCCCCATGCTCCCCACCTCGGTAATTCAGAAATGGGCACGTGGCCTCGCCAGCCAATCAGGTTTAGTTCTGGTGCCCTCTGTCTCTGGCCTGGGTGTTGTGCCCACACCGGCCTGAAGGCGCTGGGTGCAGTGGGGGCTTCCATCCACAGCCTGGGGATGCCGCCAGCCCAGAGGAAGCATGTCTCCGCTGGGGAGCGGGGTGCTCCTGGCGGCTCGAGGGGCCTGGATCCAGCTATGCCTGAAGTCAGTGTTTGGTTTTTGGCTTCTGAGACTGAAGAGTTTTCCTTTTGGTTAAGTTGCCAGGTTCAGTGTAGCCGACACCTGCTGTGCTGCCTGGCTGCCCGGGACCTTCTGAATTCCCTTCTTTATTTTCCAGACATTTGCTTTCACAGCCTCCTCTGCACGAGCTGGTCAGCTGGCCTAGGGCCTCCCAGTCAGCTGCACCTGCATGACTGATGCAGAAGTGAGGCGGGGAGGCCCCACGCTCTGGCCCCTGCAGGGGCGGCACCGGGTCCGGCGTGGTCCTGGCGGCAGGAGGGGGCGCTCCGGTGGGGCCCCCGGCACGGCTGGCGCTCAGGTCTCGTGACCACTCACACGCCTCGGGCTGCTTCCCTCTCGGATGAGACGATTGGGGTGGGTCCTGGCGGTGTCGCCTAAGAGCCAGGTTTCAGGCGTGCCCCCGAGGGTCAGCACGCTGGCGCGTTGGGCCCCCGTGTCTGCTCTGCTCTGTCTGCAGTGCGCGGTCCGTCCCCAGGCTTCACGGCACAGGCGAGACCTGACTCCTCCCAGACTCTGGGTGAAGTTTATTCCAAGAGTCTATTTTAATTCATGCAAGTTTAATAAAGGTTCACAAAGAAGGGCCTTAAGCTGGTAAATCTGGCTTAGGATTTTCTTATTAACCTTCCCCTAGCCACATGAGTTTTTAATTTAATTTTTTCAGGTTTTCAGGCACAGGGAAAGCCTCTCCCATGCCTCATGGGATGCAAAGGCAGATATTTGGGAAGGAAGGAATTTGAAGATCATTGGAACACAGTGTCTCGCCTGGACCATAATCCAGGATTCAAATGTAGCCCCATCCCCAGGGTGGGGAGGGTTCCATCAGGCACAAGCCCAGCTCTGAGGCAGATGCCACAGGGCTCCCAGGGGAAGGTCGCATTAACACAGAGGAGGATGTGGGGGGATTCGGAGAGGACCGGGAACGCCAGCCTGTCCACACCACACAGTACAACCCCCGAGGCTGTGCTGTTGAGCACTTGGAGCCATGGCTGGTCCTCAGAGTCCTAAAAGATGCGTGCGTGGGTGGAGGACTTGACCCTCTCCCAGCCGCCTCTCGGGATGCAGGACACTCCCGCCCCGCACCCCTGCACTGCTGGGGCATCTAACTGGGAGGGGGGCGCCCTCCCCGACCCGCAGCTCAGGGATGCGCCACCGTCAATAGCGGAGAGCGGGCCCTGGGAGCCCCTGTGTGGCCGGGATGGGGCTGCTGTGCTGGGTGGACCCTGGGGAGGGGTCTCCGTGGATCCCCGTCCCCCCCCCCCCCCGGGCACACGCCATCACTGCTCATCATCTGTCCTCTGCTTCTGCTGGCAAACGTAGC